GAATATATGTGCACATATGACTGGGAATAAGAAATGGGTAAAAACTGGGTTTGGGTCAAACCATGAATCAAATAATTTCATCATTCCCAGTCATGCATACATATATATTCTTATAGTTCACTAGAGCGTGGTCTAAATGATTGGGCTTTGGCCAGGTTGATGCCAGGTTGTCTCTCTTTCTGACAAGAGACTTGGCAAAACTACATGCATGTGCTTTCAGTGAGAAGAGTTTGTAGATTTAACATAATGTAAGTAACCCTAACATAAAATATATGGCATAGATTTTCCTGAAAGTTCTGATTTCCAGCACAAATGTCAAATTCAACTTTCTCCGGAGAGGTTCCTGATTCTAACATAAGTGATATGTGTAAATAATATAGTTGAATAAGAAAGAAACCTGTACTTTCTTCTTAAAAATCCTCTCTTCCAGTTGCTTGCTGGGCAGAAGAAAAGTGCTCCTTTCTGGACATTTGAATATTATCAGACATTTTTCGATGTGGATACGTACCAGGTTTGTCATCTCCACATATGTGTTTGGTGTACCGTGTTCATAATGTGTTTACCTTAATGAAATAGTTTTCTTTTTTTTTTCTTCTTGTTTCCGTGAGACAATCCTGCATAGCAGATCCTGCTCTGTATTTATTTTGCTACTTCCTTGTCCATATGTGACTTAACAAAAAGGTATACATGACCATTCCTTTTGAAAACCTTCCAAATTTCCATTGCTTCTCTCTGCCAATTTAAATGGTTGGAATAGAACTTTATGGGTATGATCATCATTTTTGCACTTTTTCATGAACATATATTATTGTTTAAGATTTTTCTTATTCGTCATACAGATAGTCCTCAATTTATGACCATAATTGAGCCCAAAATTTCCGTTATTAAGTGAAACATTTGTTAAGTGAGTTTTGCCCCATTTTATGACATTTCTCGCTACAATCGTAAGAGAATCACTGCAGTTAATAAGCTAGTAACCTGGTTGTTAAGTGAATCTGGCTTCCCCATTGAATTTGCCTGTCAGAAGGTCACAAAAGGTGATCACATGACCCCAGGATACTGCAACCTTCATAATGTTTCATGTTTTTGTCCTTTTTGTCCATTTTGAACATTTGGCATTTCTTTTTTTTAATGTAGGACTCCAGTCTGCATTGTGTGACCTATTACTTTGCCAGCATGTGAAATTAAGGATATTGTACAATAGTTTGCATGTTCCAATAAGTTGCCTGTTTTAGTATTGGAATGTAGATTGACCTCTTCCATTCTTTTGGCCACTTCACAGATTGTAGTTTTTTAGCATGGTTTTCCAGGTTTGCTGCCATAGCTTGGTTAGAACCATATTTCTGTGGGTATTCCGTGACTTTCTGTAGCTAACTTCTAACTTCTTCTAGTACTAGATGTTCTTGCGAGAGGGAGATATTTCCTAAGGAATCTTGGATGTTGACATTTCTATTATACAGTAATTCAGCATACTCCTTCCATCTTGTCTGATCTTTGAATCAGTTCTAACTGTCCATTGGTATACCCTTACCATGCATGTAGTGTTGATCTAATAAACCGTTATTTACTGCTCGGGGCGAAAGACCTCTATTGTTTTCTCTCATTTATAACCATCACCACATTGTGCTATTTTTTAAATAGTGTTGTGTGGTGGGGTTTTTTTCAGAATTCAAAGCGACCAGGCTTACACCTAACGTTAAACTACAAGGGCTGAATTCATTAAATGCTCAAAGCAAGCAGTACCAATTTACGAGTTAGCTTATTTGCAAACCAAACCTATGATTAAGGGAACTAACAAGGCTTTTTAAAAAAAAAATAGAAGGAAAATGGCTGGATTTAATTATCCAAATCATGTAATTTGTTTGCTTTTGGTTTCTTGATGTATGAATGCAAGCAATATGTTGCACGTTGTTTATTTCTGTCTGAATAAACCATACTTAATTTGCCCAAGATCCTGATTTCCAACGGGGCAATGTATAGATGGTTTTGTTAAATCCAAAATGTGTTCAGTATTTCTTTAATTTAAACAGTTTGTTTATCTTTAGCCATATGATCTATGTTGTTTTAATTATTATCAGGTTTTGGACAGAATCAAAGGATCTGTATTTCCAGTGCCAGGGAAAAACTTTGTGAGACTCCATATTCGGAGTAATCCTGATCTTTATGGTATGTGCAAACAATACAGTTTTGAATAAGGGATTTTCTCCCGCTTTCATGCTGAATACAAATAAGTCAATCAAACTAAAATGGGAATTTGCTTTTGTCTCAAATTAAGGTCCATTTTGGATATGTGCCACACTAGTCTTTGCTGTTGCAATTAGCGGTAACCTTTCAAAATTCTTCATCCATCTGGGTAAACGCGATTTTCACTACGTGCCAGATTTCCGCAAAGGTTCGTAAAATTATTTCAAACAGTTTGTATCTGTTCGGTTTTTATCCAGTGAAAGAGTACAGTAGCGGGGATTGCGGTGAAACAGTTTGAGGAAGGCTGCAGCTTTCTTTGTAGCCAGAATGTTGAAAGGCAGTCAGGAACTCTGGGAAGGCTTCTCAGGGAAGGCTGAGGAAGGAATCTAGACCAGGGGTCTCCAACCTTGGCAACTTTAAGA